CGCGGATCCGATGAAAAGAATTGGTTCGCCGAGATGACGCTGGCTACTCGCTTTTGGGAGCTTGTCACGGATTAGTGCGGCGACCCGTCCCGGATTAGCGATGTCTGAACTACGACTGCATTCTGCGGGGCTGCAGTCGTTCGAGGAATTTATTCGAAACGTTTCGCGGATAGATTTTTATTCGCGAAGTGTTTCTCGAATAAAATTTTATTACTCGAATCAAATTTTATTCGACGAATTTACTCGATACCCGTATTAGCCGAATAAAATTTTATTCAAAGAATTTGTTCGGTACGTTATCCGAATAAAATCTTATTCGAAGAATTTATACTCGTACAATGCCCAATCCTGGAGGAAGGCCAGGAAATTAGAATTAGCGAACTGCGGATTTCGTGCGCTCCTAATTATCGAGAGAAGAAATGAGACTATGCAACTATTATTTCTCGAATGTCGAACAATTCGCAAACTAATATTTACAGAACCTAGAAAAAAACCTGGTAAATTCCAAGACAGTGGAATAAGACAGCGTCGACCGGACGTTTCACCGCGACTAACACATTTTATTAAGAGTCAATCTGGGACGCCGACCCGGTAAATTAATTTCCGTCCCGTTCTCGCTTCGATAATGGGAATCGATGCGCGTTAAGGACTACGCGCTTTCTTTTTAATATCGGAGCACATCGGGTACTTAGATTACAGGTTGATGAAGATGTTTGACGAAGTAGTCGGCACTTCCGTGACGGCGTGCCGCCCTGACAGAAATTAGTCTCGGACGATAATAAGAGCGCGAGCACAGTCGTCGCGTACTATAATCGGGCAAAAACGATGCTCGTGCCGGTCCACGATCAGCCTGCACGGCAAGAAGTTTTACAAGGCGATCGGCTGATCGTTGAGATACAGCGCAGCGTAGCAGAAGTCATTACACGGTACGTGACGATGTAAAAAATAGACCGGGAATACGTAAATATCCATCTCCGTCTGTCCGTCCGCCCGTCTCTCTCTCTCTCTCTCTCTCTCTCTCATTCACTCTCTTCTCGGCTCTGCATCCTTGAATCCCGTGAAAAGTCGAACCTACGGTCGTTCGTGAAGCGTGACTCAATGAAAGACGCGGCTGTGTAACGCGATGCCTCGACAGCCACGGAAATTTAATAAATACCAGAGCTGCGTGCAATTAAACGGCTCGTAAACGCGCTGGCTTCCGTTCGAAGAAAAATGAAACTAGAGAAGACGACGGCAGCCTCCGTTTCCCGAGACGGCTCCTGTGCTGACGGCACTCGATTCCAAACAAGCTATTAATTAACGATGATGGGGAAAATAAATGTCTAAACGATGCTGGACGAGGGAGACACACCTGCGTGCCAGCATTGGGACACCTGTTGTGCACCAGAGAACTTCGAAAAGGTTCTTTGCAGGAGCATTTTCTTTTTGGAATATATCTTTAGGATGCTGTTTTAATTGGATAGTAATTTTATCTGGATTTTGATAGAACACATTTCGCAGGAAAACTAGATTCTGATTTCGTATGAAATCTATTCTTCCGAATTAAGCCCCTGGTTACCGAGAACTAAAGATTATATTTGACAATTATGTAGAAGACGAGACGTCTTGGCATCAAAGGATTCAAAGAAAGGAAAAGCAAGAAGTTACGGATCGAAGAAAAAAGTTCCACGATGAACAGTCTTTCAAAGGAGAAAGAGCAGACATTCTGCGAAGAACGCTGAATAAAACAGTACGATGGACCTCTGTAGAAGACATGTAATATTGACAATCATCCGCGCAATGAAGTCCTTCTGAAGAGGCCAGATTGGAGTCAAACTCGAAAGGGCTTTAATGAAGCATTCTCTAGGAGAAAAGATTGGACAAAGAAGAGTTACGCGAAAGAGAAAAAACGAAAGAAAATGTGGAAGCACTCTGGTACCAATATCCTAATTCCAGACGCTTCTCTGATATCGTCCTTAGAGTATCACAATCAAACGGCATAGCACGTCGGAGAATAATGCTCCACAGAGACAAAGACGAACGTTGCGCGAAAGGCGGCGACTAAAGCGACGCATTCGTAAAAAAAAAGAGAGTAGAAGTCGAGGATTCGCAACGCGCGTCGTCGACGAAAAGCTGTGCACAAAAATAACGAGGCATTATCGAGCAGAAAACGAGGTCCGAGGGACAAGGACGCCGAAGGCTGGATGCGCATTCTGCGTGCACACCGCGTCAAATTATGCGTTCTTATGCGGAGGCACGTGCACGGTGGATTATGCAAGACGAGTACACAGCCTCGTGCCAATCGCTTCGCTTCGCGTCGCGTCGCGTCGCCTCTCTTGCCGCGAGCGAATTACGTTCGCTGCTCTCGATCACGATCGAAATAAAGAGAAGTCACGCAAACACACCTTCGTAAGACACTTCTCCGCCGCGCTCTCATTAAATTTTCATAGAATAATCCCGGGTAACCGTGGCAGATCGCCACGCGAAATCCCATCTCGATTCACTTTCGGTCGGCGTTCATGAATTGTAAAAGAAAAAATCGGGGAAAACCCGTCATTTTAACTGATTCGGTAGTTCCTGTGTTAAATACTCCTTCGCGTAACACCAAGATAACTTAACAAACATAAGTTATCGAGGCGCTAGAGAGAATTAAGGAGCTAAATAATCAACGACGTTTGCGTAGCGCAAACGCGAGCCAAGCCGCGACGAAATGGCGGAAGAAGCGACAATCGCGAGCGTACGAGAACCGAAAAAAATCTCCGGTCGTCGAAAAAGAGCCGTAAAGGCCGGCGCGAAGCCGGAAAGCGAATGAATGCGCGATAATTGACGCGACAAATGGAAACCGACGCTTGTTTGCGCTCGCGGGGAAGCGTCCCGACGCCGATCGTTCCGTGGAAATCAGCACCTGTTCTCTCTCGCACTTTCCCCCTCTCCCCTCCCACGCTGTTTTTCTCCCTTCGTCGTTCGACAGCGATACCTAACACTAATTAATCGGAACTACGTGTACGATCGAGAGCGCGATAATTAGGCGAGTAACGTGCATGTATTCTTTCAATGTTGATCCTTTCGCGAAGGCTGTCCTCGATTCGTGTTCGTGGTATCAAGACACGATCGAATATCTTACACACAAGCGAAGTATCATTTATTTATTAATAATTAAACTGTCGAGCGACCGACACTTTTCCTACTCGGGACTTGAGAAATTCAGTTAAGCGTACACGAGATTGAAAAATGATTTGCCTGTCCTCGATCATGATGTAGAAGCTTGTGCAACGTTATCGGAGACCGAAATTTCACTTTTCTTCGCTTCGCGTAGACGACGCGTCTACGTCGAACAAAAGAAATTGCAAGATCTCGCGAAAATCGCGAAGTTGATACTCGACTGTAAAAAGCGAACAGAAATTTAATTTACCTAAAACCCCGCGAAAAGAGCGATTAACCTTTATCGGGTCGCCGCCGGTTTCTGTAACACATTCGCGTGTGCCAGAAACGCGTAATGATCCCCGGTCAATTAACTGCCAATCCAGGTTATCGTTACAAGGAACTAGTTCCTTTACATAATGGCGCCGGTGGGCATTTTCTCTTCCCAGGCTTGTGACGCGAGCCTAATCGCGGCTTCTTCGATCGGCGCGGCTAAAGATCATCGGGGAACGAGCCTCGGTTTACCATCGGAAAAAAAGGAACGACTCTCCGCGGCGCGGACCATCGAGAGACAATGGGAACTTTCGAAGGAAACGAGACAGCGATTCGTTCTCGCTATGCGACAGCGACAACTCTCGCCGTTCTGCGGTTTCCAGATGAAATTCTACGAGGGCCTCGAACGCTCTCGACGCGACAGACCGATGAAGGAAAGCGGGGAGCGTTAGTCGCGACCGGTTGCTTTACGGCCGGCGAGCTCGTTCGACAATGGGAAAAAAACGAGTAACCAGAGCGCGATATATCGCATTGTTACAGCCGTGTAACTCTCCGCTCGGCTAATTTGTTTCGCAGAACGAATTCGAAGAACCTGTTCTGGCCGCCCGTCCGGGGGCAAGCGTGGGCGAGAAGCGTAACTATGGGTGCAAGTGCTTCCACGAGTGTAGCCACAGTCCGAGAACGTGTCGCGATAATGTTTGCCGCGTTGTTTAACGCTGTAACCGCGCGCGGCCGTCAAAGCCACCGCTCAATTTGCTATGCAAATTGTTTTCCGAGAGCACGAGACATCTTTGCCAATCGACGTCTTTATTAATTCGTTTATCGCGAAACGAAAAATTTTCGCTGGACCTTTCCGAATTGTAGATTCAGCGGTAATTAATTCCAGTATCGCCGTGGCTTTGGTAATCACGTAGTAGAAAGCATTTGGGAATAGAAATGTAGAGGTATTATCGATCCGGCCACCGTTCGAATCGCTTTCGATTTTTGGTCGGTTCTACAACAGCGGCAGAATAGGTTTGTTGGCTTCGATTCGATCCCGATATTACTTCCAATTTGGCGTCGATTCAGCGCCGATTCCACGTCGATTTGACGCCTAATTCGGTTTAACATTGATCCCGATTCTATGACTAACGCAGCTTTGCTTCGCAGCCACGATTTCCCACTCGATTTTCATTTAAACCGCGTTCAATGGCCAACTCGATTACGTTTCGACCTCGACGCTGTGTCCAACTACGTTTCACTTGGACTTTGCGGTTCGCCTCGTTGCAACGCGCCATTTACTTTCGTATCTCGTCGATTCCTTCGGGAAAAGGCGATTTTGAGGAATTCAAGGAACAATTGGACGCTTATTCTGGTTTTGAACCAGCGTTATTGTAATATGTGCCGGAAATAACATACACAGTCATGTTATACTGTACATCGAGCAAATAACTCGTAAATCTATCCTCACGATCTGAATTGCTACTCGATTACTTCACGAGTGGTTCCGACAAGTGTGGCCCCACTGTGATATTTCCAAAGTGAAAGATTACAAATCTCGTCGTACATGCGGTTAACGAGGAATCGAAAGACGACAGAACAGCTTGAAAACGTGATTATCTACTTACCCCGGGTGGCTCCTGGATCGCTCCAAGTCGAGCAGCAGAACTCCTCCATGATTACTTTCGCGACGATCGTTACATGACGTTAATAACACGTTAATGCGGCTCTCGCTTCAACACTCGGTTAATTTCCACACTCTGTTAGTAGAGAATCATCTTCACTCAATCTTTCCCTCGGATCTGAAAAATGTCAAGAGAGGCTCGTGGTCAGCGTCGCCGACGACTACATCTCGTTAATAATTAAACACGGTCGCGGGGATTAAAACGATCGGGCGCCGTTTAATTCGATTCGACCCGCGGCAGGTGTCGATAGATCGATAACACGAGTTTCCACGCGGAAGTGCGGTCGTTCCGACCGGATGGGACGGGGCGGGGTGGGACGGGAGAATTTGCGGGAATTCGAGGGATCGATGAAATATGCAGAAACAAACGCGACCCGCGCGATGAAAAATGCGCGGAACCGACGCCGAATTAAAATGAAAACGCAGGGGACACCTCGGCGATCATGTCGCATCGATCGGATCCCGGTGAGAAATGGAAAGAATGACTGCGCGATGCTGAAAAATCGCGATCGCACCCGCGCCGCTGCTATTTTCGCGCCAACCAAATTACCGCCATCGATCAGATCCGTTGCAGTTCGGTTCCTTCCCGCTAAATCTCTGCTCCGGGAAAATGATATACGCGATAACATTCGAGATCGTCGCGACGCAGTTTTCAAAAACGCGTCTATTCGAATATCCCAGGGAAGTTATATCCTCGAAGAAACGTACGGTCTCCTCGATGGATTTACCATGGAAAGCTGTCCAGGCGCATATTTCGCCAGGACTGCATACGCGTCCAGTCTCGGAATAATTTCTGTGGAGAGCCGCTAACAGCGAGATAGCCGAGGAACGAAGGTGCAGACGCAACACGAAAACGCCGAGTGCAAGTGCATCGCGAGCCAGTCAGGTGCGAAGGAGAGCCACGGCCATGAGACGAGCGAGATCGACGATACCGTCTCGGTTATCAATAAGCCGGCCGAATGAATGATCAATACTCGGCTGAAATATGGTTTTCGATAAAGCAGCCGTTAAAGATAAGTTCCTAGAGAGGCAGCCGGTAGACGGTCGCGAGCGTTTATTGCCGCGATACGTATCCCGGCGCGGTGCATTACGAGCGCCGTGCATTTTCGACGGAACATTACCCGAAGGAAGATTATCCGTGTCCTTGGTCGCTAACTGCCAAGAAATATGGCGAAACAGAAACCGTTCCCAGACAGGCGATAACGAGTGATCGCACCGGCGCGTTGTCGGCGCTACGGTGGCCCGTAAATCAGCGCCGGTGTGTGTGCACGTGTGGATAGAGGATCTCCGAGTCGCGAGGTTCTGATAGCCGAGGCTTTCTGGCGCAAACAGTGTCCTCTCCAGAGAAATATTACAAGGTCTCGCCGCTATAGCTTCGCGGCTTCATCGGGATCCAGGATCCGATCGTTAATCAACTCGCCGTCCGGCAGGACGCGATTATCATTCGGTTGATACACGCGGACCTTAGAACACGTTCCACAGAAAGCCCCAGGTAGGCGAATCGCGTGTAAACGGAGCGGGTATGCGAACGATGGTGTGCGATAGGCGGAAAAGAAAGGCCATGCGAGTAGAAATTGAAGCATGTTCGAGCGAAGTGCGATGAGCATTTAACCGAAGAGCGAAGAGCACGCGAGCAGAAGGCGAAGAGCACGCAAATAGAGAATGAACATCGTATCCGAGCGAATGAAAGAAGAGCATACGACTAGAGATCGAATAGCGATCGAGGCGAAATAAGAGCGGCTGATGCGGCGAAAGTTAATCAACGTCCCAGGTGCAGCTTTCGGCGATAATTACTGGCAGCGTCGCATTCGACGTTTACCGAACAGATATTAATTCATCGAAATCCCGGTGGCGTTCGATATTAAAACGATGGCCGTCTTAAATTCGCGCCAGCCAACCAACCAACGTGTAACGAGCAACGGGGAACGAGCAACTAGCAACGAGGAATCGTCGCTGGCAGACGGCCCGATTAATCAGAAATTAATAGGGCGCAAGTAACGCGGCAAATTTACAGGCAAATATTTTCGCCGGTGATTAATATTCGGGCGCGTGAAACGGGGAGATCAAGTCCGTATAATCTCGCCGGTCGCGTCGTGTCCCGTCGCTCCGGATGTTAAATTATTTGCACTATCTTTCCATTACGTTCCATTGATTAAACAATCGCGCCCGAGCGCCACCTTTGCAGCATCGTTTTCCAGCCGACGCAACGCGACGTTATAAGCCATAGCTTCTCTCTCTCTCTCTCGCTCTCTATCGCCCTCTTCCACTATCTCTCTCCCTCTTTTGTTTTTTTTTCCTTTTGTTCGGGAACGCGATTTATCGTCCGCCGTAATTCTCGTTTCACGCATTCGCGCTGCAGCCGCGATTAAACCCTCGGCTCGATACGGATATCGATTTTCCCCGGTGACACGTCCGCTTCGATTAATACTCTTGTCGATGATTCAAGGGCAAGCCTTTTCTACCATCGGATATTTCAACTGCTCCGACAATTTTAGAATTCATTGCTATTTTAACGCTAAACTTACCCAGCATTCAAATGACTCGCGCGCGTCGCTCTGTAAAAATGATAGGACCGAATTTCATTTAGACTCTCCGGCAGTTTTAAAATACAGAACGTGAAAGCGGGCGTTTCGCAGAATAGAAACGATCCGCATCGATTTCAAGAATCGGGAACCGATTAGAAATTGTTGTCTTCCTCTAATAATCGTAACATCGAACGCTAAATAATGCTCGACACGCGTCGCTTCGTAAATATTACAAGACCGAATTCAATGAAATATCATCTTGCTATTTCTATTGAAACGCGTGTTTGAACGAAGAAAATTCAATCATCTGTAATCGATGTATCGATATTCTCCGATTCGTTTAGAACGAGGAGAAAGACCTCCTCTCTCTGGGAAGATGACCAAGAAAAAGGAAGAAAATGATGGAATCGAGGACGAAGATCCAAGCATTAAAGAAAAATTGCCAATCTCGATTTGTAATGAAACGGCAGTAAAGCCAAACATTAATATCGACTTGGTGGCTCCCATAAATGTTCGAAGAAATTGTACTAGAAGCTCGAGCTTTAGACCGAGAAGAATGATTTCGTTTGCAAAAATGACCGAAGAAAGGGCAGATGATTATATCGGAAGACCTAAAACGGAAATTCTCTTGCCGGCGCGGTCGGCCGAAGATAAAGAAAGCATAACGAACGAGCTTAAAAGCTGAAAGTCGGAGGAAAGTTGCGGGGAACGGGCTCGAGAAGCGGATCGCGTAAAATCGGTGACGGGAACGCCGCGAAAATGTCAACGGCCCCGGTGGCTGCGCCGCGCCAAGGGGAACGTAAAAATTTCACGAGACTCCGATCGCGAGAAAGTCGTCGCAAGGGATTATCGTTCCGATAAAAGTTCACTTGAAATTGGCTTTCTTCCCGGAGCACGGCGAAACTTCTTCCCAGCGATTACGTCTGTTGCAATTAAACTCCAGTCCGCCGAACCTAATTAGACGCCGCCGGAAAAAAAAATTGACTCGGGGATCAGCTTTTCACGGTCAACGTGTCCATCATCGATTAATTACCGAGCCGCAACTTACCGATTAAACGCTGCTAAATGATTTAAGGACACGATCGGGCTCGAATGAAAAATTGCCTTCGCGACCTATTTTCGCGAGAACCACTCGTGCGATTCCAATCAAATTTTGTCCCGGCACTCCACCGACAGTGCTGCATTAATTGGGTACACGATGTTGTTGCGAACTTATTAAGCAAAAGTTTACATTGGGTTTAAGATGTCGTTAAAAATTCAACGAATTATTCGTATGAAATATTCGACGAAAGGAATTCGTTCGGACAATTATCCTAGACAAATATTTCTTCGAAAGAATCCGAATAACGTGCAACTCTGCTTCAGCAAGAGAGAGAGTAGTCGGTGAAGAAGTCGACAGCGCGTAAAATCGTCGAGCGAACGATAAAGATCATTTCAGCGACGTTGTTCGGGTTTTCCGACCGCAAAGGATCGAGTGAATCAAATTTTTGAAAGAACGCGCGGGCGATAGAGCTCGTCCAAGCTTCGAAGAATTAACATTGAGATCAATATTTCGTTTCGAGGATTGCGACCGAGGTGGAGGGAAATCCTCCGACTAATGTACCAAGAAGAATCCACGCCCACGCCTCGACAACGACGCGCACACCGTTCTAAGAATTTAATTCCATCTCATCCTGATCAACGACACCGCAAACGCGCCGGATAAAAGTAATTTCCGACGAAATTATACGTCGAGAGAGCTGGCTGGAATCTCTCTCTCTCTCTCTCTCTCTCTCTCTCTCCCTCTCTCTCTCTCTCTCTCTCTCTCTCTCTCTCTCTCTCTCGCCGGGACCCAGGAATTTCCTCGACATCTACAAAGCTTGTTTCGAGCAATTAGTCGCCTTGATCGCAAGTTCTCGTAAGATCAGCGGACGTTCAGGTCGCCAGAAAACACTCCGAACTAGCGAACCAGAGACGGTAAAACGACTCCGGGCGTACGATTACAGCAAGCTGAATCGGTTCAATGAAACCGAGCGGACAACCACGTGTCGCTTACCGACATTTCGATTAATATCGCAGCCTGCGATCGCGACAGAAGGCGGTGTAAAATCGCACCGGAAGTTTCCGATTACCACGGCGCAGCGCAAAGAGCTCGAGAGAAGAACGCGNAGATGACCAAGAAAAAGGAAGAAAATGATGGAATCGAGGACGAAGATCCAAGCATTAAAGAAAAATTGCCAATCTCGATTTGTAATGAAACGGCAGTAAAGCCAAACATTAATATCGACTTGGTGGCTCCCATAAATGTTCGAAGAAATTGTACTAGAAGCTCGAGCTTTAGACCGAGAAGAATGATTTCGTTTGCAAAAATGACCGAAGAAAGGGCAGATGATTATATCGGAAGACCTAAAACGGAAATTCTCTTGCCGGCGCGGTCGGCCGAAGATAAAGAAAGCATAACGAACGAGCTTAAAAGCTGAAAGTCGGAGGAAAGTTGCGGGGAACGGGCTCGAGAAGCGGATCGCGTAAAATCGGTGACGGGAACGCCGCGAAAATGTCAACGGCCCCGGTGGCTGCGCCGCGCCAAGGGGAACGTAAAAATTTCACGAGACTC